GTCCAGCTCCAGCTCCAGGGGAGGGCAACGCCCTCTGCTGGCCTCCTGGACACTACAACGCCCTCCCCTGGCCTCCTGGAGACCGAGGCACGCATGTGGTACACAGATACATGCAGAACACATACAATGAAAATAAACAAATAAACCTCAGCCGTGTGCAGCCATGCCATGCACCCATAATCCCAACAGTCAGGAGGCTGAAGCAGGAGGATGACCTCCGGTTCAAGACCAGCCTGGTCTACATTTTGACTGGTCTACATTCCAGTCCTACATCACAGTGAGACACAGCCAGGCATGGTGGCACAAGCCTGGGATCCCAGCGCTTGGGAGTGGAGGCAGGCAGGCCAGCAGGTCAAGGTCACCCACTGACTACACAGTAAGACCCTGTCTCAGAACATCAACAATGAATGAATAGCCAGGTGCAGTGGTCACGCTGGAATCCCAGCACGTGGCAGGCGGAGGCAGGCGGATCTCTGTGAGCTGGAGGCCAGCCTGGTCTACAGATCCAGTACAGGACAGCCAGGACTACACAGAGAGACCCTGTCTGGAAAAACAAAGCAAACAAACAAAAGAAATGAAGAAACAAAAAAGTTTAAAACTAGCTAGGAGGATTGGAGAGATACCTCATCAGTAAAACGCGACACACAGACATGGCAAAAGGCAGTGGGCGCTGGGCTCAATGGCTTAAGGTGCTTGCTGTGTGAGCATGAGGGCCGGAGTTCAAATCCTTAGCGATAAAATAAAAAGGCCAGGCAGAGCAGTGCATGTGTGTGAGCCCAGGGCCGGGGCGGTGGGTGGGTGAGCCTAGCAGATCTGGGGCCTTGCTGCCCGGCCAGTCTAGCCAAATTGTGAGCTCCAGGTTCAAGAAGAAACCCTGTCTCAAAAACCCAAATGGAGGTGCTGGAGAGATGGCACAGTGGTTAAGGGCACTCGTTTTTGCGGAAGACTCAAGTTCAATTCCCAGTTATCCATACGGTGGCTCACAGCCATCCCTACCTCCAGTTCCAGGGATCCAATGCCTTTTCTGGCCTCCAGGGCACAGCAGGCATGAGTGTGGAACAGAGCTATAAATGCACATAAAAAACTCACACACAACAGCATACAATTTTAGAAGTGGAGAATGATAAAGGGACCAAAGGGCAATCATCTCTCTCTCTCTCTCTCACACACACACGCACACACACACACACACACACACACACACACACACACTTTAGGTACACGCTTGCCTAGCACACGTGGCAACCCTAGCTTTAGTCCTCAACACTGCAAAAGTAAGGCAACAAAAACAAACGAACCCTCAACGCTGCCTCAACGAAAATGTCCTTTCATCCCCACTTTTGCCTGTGGAAAGTCAACCTCCTGGCGTTAGCGAGACCTGGAGCCGCCAAGCGCGGGCCCTTCCCTGGGTGCCCTCTGGCTCCAGCGGCGGTCCTCCCTTCACCGACCCCAAGCTTCCACGCCCTCTGCCTGGACTCTCGCCTCCACCTTCCCCGGCTTACTAAAGGACCCTCCTGGAGGACGCCTGCCTGGAGGATGCCCTGCTGGAGGATGCCCGCCTGGAGGCCTGTCCTGACGGCCTCCCCTTGGGGTGCCCGGGCAGCTTCACCCTGGTCTATAGTTAGATCACTTCCTCTCTAAACCACGGAAGCCTGGGACTCAGTGCCAGCCCTGGATGGGCACATGGCAGGCAGAGTTAAATGCTTATTATTGAAGCGCCAGGACAAATCGGAAGACGTGGGGTGCTCCTCCACACACAGGCTCGCTGGGGCTGATGGCCTCATAAGAGTCAGGGATGTGACAGACGAGGAAAAGCAGACAAATCGCGGTGGTTGGAGAGGTTAGGAGTCAGGGAGATGAGCATGTGAAAGTAGGTCAGGAGGGCAGAGAGGGCGGAAAGCCACCCAGAGGCTCAGCGGGACAGCAGGGCCTCACCACCGGGCCAGGGTGCCGGGCCGGACCGGAGCGGAGCTGTCGTGCCGGTGCAGCTGTATGAAGTCCCTGCCTGGCCCCTGCGCCAGCTCCGTGATCTCCTGGCCCCACCACCGTGCCTGCCGGTAGCTGCTGCACTTGAGAATCAGGGACCTGGAAGAAACACGAGGCGGCACCTCAGATCTCTCTCCTTCCTGCCTAGGTCTGGCCCAGGGACCTCCTGCTATGGCTCCCACTTTGTCTCACTTCCCCCACCAGCCCCTAAGCTGGAGCCACAGCTTTAGGCACGGCTGGGCTCCAGGTGGTCAGCATTTCCTAGGCTCTCAAGTGGACACAGTTTCCTTCCTCCTCCTCCCCGTCCCTTCCTCCAGCCCCCTCTCCCTTCTTCTTCTTCTTTTGTTTGTTTTTGCTTTTGTTGTTGTTGGGTTTTGTTTTTGTTTTTCGAGACAGGGTTTCTCTGCATAGCCCTGGCTGTCCTGGACTGACTCTGTAGATCAGATCACAGAGATCCGCCTGCCTCCGCCTCTGGAGTGCTGGGATTACAGGTTTGCGCCACCATGCCTGACCTCTCTCTCCCTCTTTTGTAAGACAATTTCACCAGAGTTCAGGCTCTTCGGAGTCTATCCTCCCAGCTCAGCCTCCCAGGGGCTGGGATTACAGGTGTGCACGGCCATGCCCAGCAACTTTTGTTTTTCACAAGTTACAGTGTCTGTGTGTGTTAAGTGTGTGTGTCTGCATCTGTGTCTCCCTGTATCTGCGCCTGTGTCTGCATGTCTGCTTCTGTGCATGTGCACAGGTGTGAGTGAAGATGTTCAGACAACCCAGAAGAGGTCATCAGCGTCCCTGGGAGCTGGGGTCACAGGAACTGGGAGAAGCCCCTCCCCATCTGTCCCAAGCCCCTGTGGCAGAGTCCCTACTGCAGGAGTTCCCTCACACAGGGCTAGCTAAGCTACCTAAGCTCTGCTCCCCCCGAAGCCACACCTGAGAGCTCTTACCTGTGCGAGGTGTCAATCTTCACCCCATACCGCACCTCCGTGCTCCTTTTCCCAACCTGCACTTCAAAGCCGGGGTCGAAAAGCTGAACAAACGAGATGGCGCCGGTCTCCAGGCGCATGTACAGCAGGAAGGAGTCCTTCACCACCAGCCATCTGAGCGGAAGGGCCGAGCATGTGCATTACCGGGTCCTCAGCTCTGCCCCTCACCTGCCCACCCAGCCCCGCTCCGCTCCAGCCCTGCCCACCCAGCCCCCTCGGCTCCAGCCCTCACCTCTTGGACCATCGGTAACACACTTGGTCTCGGCCACAGCAGGTGAAGCCAGGAACTCGATGCCCGCCAGAGCGCTTCCGGATCACCCCTTCCCTACAGGGACAATCAGGAAAGTTGGGGGCTCTGGGCACCTGTGCTTCCTTCTCAAGCAGGAGCGTGGGGAGTGAGACCTGAGGAGGCCTGGGCGAGGGGCTCCCACACTCACAGTCCTTTGGAGCCAAGGTCTGGGATAAAGGAGAGTTGGCTGACTTCCAGAAACTCTGTCTGCAGGGGGAGAAATAAGCTCAGGAGAGATCAGGGTTTCAGCCCCTCAGCTCTACTAAATCTGCCCTTTGGCCCCTGAGGATCCTATGATCCTATCTACTTCACCCCGGGGCAGTGGTGGCAAATGCATTTAATCCCAGCACTTGGAAAGCACAGGCAGGTGGAGCTTTGTGAGTTCAAAGCCAGCCTGGTTACATGGTAAGTTCAGGGGCAGCCAGGATTACAAAGCAACTCCCTGTTTTATGATTATTAAAAAGAAAAATAAAGAAGGTGGGAGAGAGAAGAGAGACACCGGGTGTCTAGCCCTACCATGGCATGATAATTTCGGTAGAAAGACATGGTCAGGAGGCGGTTGAGGTAATTTTCCAGGTATTTCTGAAGGGAGGTGGGAGAGAAACAGATGTAGCCAGAGCCTTCTGCCACACACCTCTCTCCGGGACCTGGCGTTTCCTCATACCTGCTTGCTGGTTCTGTGTCTGGAGCCCTCAGACCCTCCTCGGGGCAGGGAGGGGATGTCCTCACTGGCCGCCTCTCGGGCTGGAGAAGAGGCCACAGCAAAGCTATAGAGGAGAGGAGAGAGGGCTCAGGGCCAGATGCCTGAAACACTGGGGACGGGGCCTGGAGTGGGAGAAAGGGTCTCCATCCTGGGAACGGAAGGGGGTGGGGGATGGGGGGGGGGGGGGGGGGGGGGGGGGTGGGGGGGGGGAGAGGAGATGAGGGTGGGGGTGGGGGTGTTCTCTGAGGGCATTTTGTGCACCCAGCCCGGCTGAAATATTGGCACAGTGCTATGGACAAAGAGAACCAAGCAGGGGCAGTCCCCCGGGAACCGGGGCCCAGGGCTCCGGGTGGGGCTCCTGCCTCTCGGGGAAGCCCACTCACCGCGCCAGGGGGAGCAGACTCATCAGGACCTTGTGTCTCTGGAGGTCCCGGTGCAGCTCCTGAAAGTGCCGGAACTTCTTCTTGGTGGTCCAGGAAAAGTCGCCGTGACTCAAACGAACGGAATAGAGAGTACAGGTTCCCACCTGGGGCGTCAAAACCCGAAGTCACGTCTTCCGTCCCCACCCGGCCCCCTCGGCCCCCTCCCTGGCAGCAGCCCGGCCACCTTGGATCCGCTGGTGTATCTCTCGGTGCCCACCACCTGGGCTGTCACGGGGACCCCAGGGGCGAACACCAGCGGGTGCGCTCTCTGAGGCTGGAGGTCGTAGATGGCCAGGAAGGGGTGCATTCGGTCCGCTGAGAGGAAAAGAAGCCCGCGGGCGTGGGTGCCACAGGCCAGGACCCCCGCCCGTCCCCGTCCGGCCCTCTCTCCGGTACCTGGGTCCTCGCCTTCCGTCAGCGTGCCGAGCTCGTCAGGCTCCATGTGCAGCTGGCTGGAGTCCAGGTAGTCCGCGTAGGGAAAGCGGCTGTCCTCCGCGCCAGACATCCTGGGAAGACCAGGGAGCCTCAGGCCGGCCTCCCGCCCCGACGCCCCTCCGAGATCCACTCGGCCCGGCCCTCACTCCGTATCCCCGGTCCAAGAAGCACCTCGCCAAGCAGGGATGGGCTCGCACGGGGGCGAGGTAAGTCCAGGGCGGAGCCCCGGGGCCAGCGGAGCTCACGGTCGGCCCAGAGGCTGGCAGCGAGGGTCTCGGCGGAAACGAGGAAGTTGCGCGCTCCCCGCCCAGGAGAGAAATCCCGAAATCTGGACGCGCGGCTGAGTCAGACGGCCGGGGCAGCTCCAGCCCCGCTGCGTCCACGCCCAGCCCCCGGGGCTCCCGACCTCGGCCGCGCCGCGCCCCCGGCCCCTCACCCGCCGGCACCCGCCGGGTTCGCAGGCACCGGGAGCAGAACTCAGCCAGCAGCCTCCGCCCCAGAGGGCCGGGGCGGGGCCGGGCTTCTGCGCCTGCCCTCGGGGCGGGACGGCCCCCGGCGCTCTCCTCCGCCCGCGCGCGTCAGCCCGCTGCCGCCCCCGCCGCCCTCTGCCCTCGGCCCACTCCCCGGGCCGCCCACCCGGGCCCCGCCCACTCCCTGGGGCCACTCCCCCGCACCGCCCACTCCCCGGGCCGCTCACCCGGGCCCCGCCCACTCCGCGGGCCCCGCCCACCTCGGACCCCCGCCCACACCGCGGGCCGCCCCCTCCCGCGCCCCACCCACTTCCCGGGCCCCGCCCACTCCCGGGCACTGGCCCCGCCCACTCCGGGCCGCCCTCTCTGCGGCTGCCCTCGGTCTGCGGTCTCTGGTCAGCCTCCCGGCCCTCCACTGCGCGCGCGCGGGCACTGGGCCGCCCGGTCCGGCGGGGCCCGCGGGGTTGATGGGAGGCGATAAGGTAGAACCGGAAGGATGGCGACTTCCAGCCGCTTGCCGTGCGAGACGACACCTTCTTCGCCCAGGAAACGGCCGGCCGCGACCGGCTCCACGGAGCCTCGGGGCCGGGCAGTTCCGGTCTAGAAAAACCCGTTTTGCGCCGGATCCTAAGGGTTGCCCTTCCTTCTTCTCTTCCAGATTTCCACCCACCAACGTTTGAGTTGTTTGAGGCTTTGTCCGCCGCAAGTGGGCTCTGACGCGCGTCTACGCGCCGCCCGCTTTTGAGGACTTGGGCTGTAATCTCTCTTGGGTAAACAGCCAGAGCGAAACGACCGGACCATGCAAGTGTGTGGTTCACTTCGAGTCCTGTCAGGACCTGGGCTGGGCCGTTGGTAGCTCAGCAGCACAGAGAATGTGGCCCAAGCATTGTGAACCTTGGCGGTCGAGGCCAGCTGAGGCTACACAGAGAGACACTGTCAAACCCACAAAACCAGGGGCTGCAGAGACGGCTCTGTGCCTGAGGACGCGAGTTCGATTCCCAGCGCCCACAGGGCTGCTCACAGATCCATGTTAACTCCAGTTCCAGGGGATCTGATGCCCTCTTCTGGCGTGCAGGTGTACATGCAGATAGAGCACTCATGAAAAATGAATAAATGAATAAATAAATAAGTAAGTTTATGCCGGGGATCACCACAGCATGAGGGACTGTATTGAGGGCTGCAGCGTTGGGAAGGTCGGAACCACCGCTCCCTAGTCCTGCCTGGCCTAGAGTCACTTTATAGATTAGGCTGCTTTCAAAGTCACAAGAGGTCTGCCACCTTTGTCTCCAGAGTGCTGGGATTAAAGGTGTGTGTCTCCTCACACACACACACACACACAATGTACTTTTTAAAGTTAAAAAATACATCTTCAAGCTGGGCTCCATGGTGCACACACAGGCAGCCAGGCGGTTTTGGCGTATGCCTTTAACCCCAGCACTTGGGAGTCAAAGGGAGGCAGTTCCAGGCCAGCCTGGTCTGCAGAGTGAGTTCTAGGGCAGTCAGGGCCACACAGAGAAACTCTGTCTCAAAATAATAATAATAATAATAATAATAATAATAATAATAATAATAATAATAATAAGGTGGAAAGGAGAGAAGTGTACATCAGCTGATGAGGGTGTAGCCGGGCTATTCAGCCAAGAAGAGAAGCTGTGCGTTGATATTTATACTTTCAACAAGAGAAACTTTGAAAACATGGAGCTAAGTGAAAGTAGACAAAACAAACACACACGTTGTAAGACTCACACTACATTCGTTACTTTTCTCCTCATGTGACCCAGTATCGGGCAGAAAGCCATCCACTGGCTTCCTTCATTCATTGGCTCACGGTTTAAGGGAACACAGTCCAGCACAGAATGACTGTGTGTGGGCTGGGGAGACCAGGACGCAGACCGGTGGATACTGGTGCCTTTCTTCAGTTCAGTGTCTCTGGATAGCAGGATAGTTGTGACTCACACTTGGGTTCTCAGCTGAGGCAGCTGAGGAGTGTGAGGCCAGCCCGGGCCGCAAACAAACATCTCCACAGTCTTGCCCTGTGTGCTCTTTCAGGCCTTGGATGTTCTGTTGGTGCCGCTGTTTACAGACAGTGTTACACCTTGCTCTGTAGACCAGGCTGGCCTGGAATTCACAGAAACCTACCAGCCCCTGAGTGCTGGGGTGAAAGCTGTGTGCACCACGAAAAGCTCAGGTGAGTTTTGTTGTGTTTTTTTTTTCCATTTTCTGTGTACATTCATGTGCATGCAGGAACCCAAGGAGGTCAGAAGAGGGCAGCAGCTGCCCTGGAATTGGAGTTTCAGGAGCTTGTAAGCAGCTATGTGGGTGCTAGGAACAGAACGCAGGTCTTCTGCAAGTACGTGCTTCTAGCTTCGCAGCCATCTCTGTAGCTCCAGGGGGTTTTCACTCTAATCAAATTGACAGTGAAATCGTCGCCCTCTGTTCTGACCCAATTACAATGAGCAGTACGTGGGGTCTGGGGGTGGGGGGAGAAAATAGAAGGGGATGGACCAGCTTTTCCTGTATTTTGTATTATATTTTAGATAGTTAATCAACAGATTAATGAAACCAACCAAGCCAAAACAATACAGAAAAACTAACCATCACAATATGGAATGTTCAGAATAAAAAAAAAAAGTCCGAAGAAACAGGAAGCACATTAGTGGCTGTCAGGGCTAGGGAGAAGGAGGAGTGGGGAATGGTTTCTAATGAGTACAAGGGTTTCCTGAGGGTAATGGGAAATCTAAAATTAGTTGTGATGCTTATATAACTGTGAACATAGCAAAAACCACCATGGAATTGTCTTAAAAGGGTGAATTTTGTCTATGTTCTGAATTATATTGCAATAAAGTATAAAGCACATAAATTGTTGCTATAGATAAACCACCGTGTGGAAAGAAAGCAAACGCAGGAAAGGGCAATGCAGAGTGGTTACAGTTACACCAACTCCTGAGGCTGAAACAGCCTCTTCGCCTCAGAGGGGCTTTTCAGAGGGGAACTCTCTAGAGTGATGGACTCAGGAGATGGCTCAGGTTTAGGAATGGTGCAGCAGTGTGAGGGCTGAGTCCAGAGCCCCAGGCGGAACGGGAGAGGTGTCAGCGGGCTGCACACACACTGGGGCATGGTGGCGAGCGAGCCCAGCACTTCAGGGGAAGAGAGGCAGGGCGTCTCTGGGCTCTAGGCTCAGTAAGGACACCCTTCTCCCAAAGTAAGGTGGGGGTCGGGACAGTGAGGGGCTCAGAGCGTAAGGTACCTGCTACAAAGCCTGGCCTTCAGTGCCTGGGCCTCACGGTGGCTTAGAAGAGAGCTGATGCAGCGGCTGACTTCTGGCATCCTTACACGCCTCCGTGGCAGGACACTCACAGGCCCTCGCCCTCCAAACACACACACACAATAAAGTTTAAGGTGGAGAGTGACAGAGGGAGCCGCCTGGTGTTAACTTCCGGCCTCTGTGCGCGCGCACGCACACACACACACACACACACACACACACACACACACGAAATGAAATGTCTAATTACAAAACTCAGTGGAGCTGTATGATAGGAGCTGGGTTCTGGACAGACATAATCAGTATCTCATTTAGGGCACTTGTTGATATGAAAATCCATGACCAAAAGCAGCTTGGGTTGTCGAGCTGACACACGCCCTTCATGCCAGCACTCAGGAGGCACAGACAGGCCAGCCTGGTCTACGTCAGGAATTCCAGGGCTGCCAGAGCTATGTAGATAGACCTCAGACAACACAGAAAGGAGCTTCGCTTGGCTTACATCGGGTCACAGTGCACTGACGGAAGCCGAGGCAAGAGCTGAAGCAGAAGTCATGGAGGAACGCGGCTTTCTGGCTCGCTCCTCTGCTCTGCTCAGCTGCTTTTCTGCCCCATCCCAGGATACTTGCTCAGACCCTCCCATGTCCATCACCAACACTCGAGCAGACTGGCCTACAGGCTGCTGTCTGATACAGAGCATTTTCTCAATTGAGGCTCTCTCTTCCCAGGTGTGGTAACAGACAAAGAATCAAACACAAAAGCCTAAAGAGCACAGTGTCAGTGAGCTTCCTCTTTAGGGGCAGGAGGAAGGTCTAACTGCCGCCCAGGCTGAGGTAGCAGTGTTTCTGCGTCAGCCTCCCGAGCATTGCTAACATTCTGAGATGCTCCGCCCCTGCAGCCCAATCCCAAAAGAAAAACAACCCCCCCATGTGGTAGCAGCCCTTGGGAGACAGAGGTAGCTCAAGGCTAGCCTTGACTACATAGAGTTTGAGGCCAGCCTGGGCTACATGCAACCCTGTTTCAAAAAAGAGACAGGCCCAGTCAGTGCTGGCACACACCTTTAATCCCAACGCTCGGGAGGCAGAGGCAGGTGGATCTCTGAGTTCACGGCCAGCCTGGTCTACAGAGTGAGTTCCAGGACACCCAGAGCTACACAGAGAAACCCTGTCTCAAAAACCCAAACCAAACCAAGCCAAAGCAAAACAAAAACCACATGCATATTATAAAGAACAGAATTGCTTATTGGAAAGCTGGGTTGGAGGTATGAGACCACATACTATCTTCTTATGTGGATCTAACAATATTGTAAAGATTTTATCTGGGGGCTGGGGAGACGGCTCAGAGGTCAAGGCTGCTCTTCCAGAGGACCAAGTTTCAAGGCCCAGCACCCACATGGCAGCTCATAAATGTCTGGAACTCAAGTTCCAGGGGATCTGACTCCCTCACACAACCCCCAAACACCAAATTACATAAAATAAACATTAATTAAAAGACTTCTCTCGTGACCCCCTTCCCTCATCTGTAAAATCAGGAGAGGAACAGCGCCTCAGAAGGTCAGTACAGCTGAGCCCTTGCTTAGTGTTGGGGTGACCTTGAGCGCCCTATGAGATCCGCACTGTAAAACGACAACCACAAATGACAATCAACGGGGGCAAGCCGCAGACCAGCAGGTGCACGCCTGTGATCCTGGCACTGAGAGGTGGAGGCAGGAGCGTCACCCCGAGCCTCGTTTGAGTTATACTGTGAGACCCTGTCTGGGACAAAAGTTATTCGGCCATTTGGCGAGAGCGCATTTCTTTCTCTGGGGAAAGCTTCCCATGCTAAAAACTTAGCGTTCTTTAAATTTTTATGTTTTGGGCGCTTCAAATTTGCATCCTAAAATGAAACTTAAGAAAGAAAGAAAGAAACTGGTGCGGGTAGCTTAGTGGCAGAGCCCTGGCCTGGCATGCAGGAGGCCCCATTACAAGTATAAAAATTCAAAGCGGAGCAGACTTCCATTCCCAGCAGCGTGTAGCCTGACCCCAGGTCGAGGGGCGCTGCACAGCTGACCTTTCGGTCATGACACCCCTCTCCCGCCTCCCCACATCCTCCTTGTGCAGGCGGACCACCAAATTTAGGTACTCGGACAAGGTGCCCCCCTCCTCCCCGCTCCCCCCGTCTCCCGGCGCCTGTAATCACCGGGCGTCTGAGGCTCTAAGTGGCAGTCTGCCCACGGTGGGGGACGTGGAAGCCGCACCCTTCCCCGTGGGGCCCTGCTGTCCCTTCCCGGCGTCGCAGTCTCCACTCCCGAGATGGGTCTGAAGGGGGCTTGGTGCTTCCCATGGTGTAGGTGCCGGAGACCCCGGGCGACCCAGAGCGGAACAGGTACGGGGCCACCGGGGCAGGAGGGGCAGCCTGGAGCGCGTTAGGGCAGATAGACCCCAGATCAGGGAGAAGAACGGGAAGATTTCTCACGCCTCCTCAGGCTGCGTGAAGATTTTGTAGCAGCTCCTGCAAAGTGGAAAGATGAAAGCTTTGTGGTAAAAGCGTAAGGATTTCAAGGTGGGGACCCAGACTACTGCCTGGAGCGAGCGCTGGGTCGCTTTGAGCAGGAGAGGGATCTGGAGGGCGTCTCTGCGACAGCCCGAGGCGGGGGGCGGGGGGGGCTCTTTAGATGCTCTTCTGCAGCCTGTTGCTGCCGCTGACACCCCTCACTGGCGCCTTTCCTCACTGTGGTGGGAGGGCGAGGGAGCTGGCCCCTGACCTTCCCTTTCTTCATCTCTGGCTCCCCTGTCAGGCCTGGAACCGGCTTCCCCTCCAGAACCCAGCCCCGCCACAGCCCCCTCCGTGGCCGGAGGACTGCCCTCCCCGGGGCCTGGGGCCTACCTAAGCCGGAAGGCTCGTCTCTCCTTCCGCCACCAGCTGCACGACGTGGCATCGGCCAATGACTCCACCATCTGAGGACAGCCGGAGGCCGACCCCGCAAGAAAGTGGCCACCTCCTGTCACCCCATTTCTTGGTGGTCCCAAGTCTGAAATGACTTCATTAAATTTGTTCAGAGTCGCCCAGGGTTGTGCTTGAGTGCTGGGCGAGGGTGATTGGGGCGAACGCAGTAGGTCTGGGGCACAAGGCAGAGGTGGAGAGTGTGTGGTCGTGTGGGAACCGTGTGCATGAGGCAGGTCCTGGGTATGGCTGATAGGAAAGTTTAGTTTGCTAAATCAGGCTTCAGAGTCAAGTGTGGGGGAGGTGAGCTGCGAGGAATGTTTTGTCTTTTTTTTGGGGGGGGGCTGTTACCGGTTGTTTTGAAACAGGGTGGCTCTAGGTAGCCCTCCCTGACTCTGAACTCCCAATGTAGACCAGGCTGGCCCCAAACTCAAGAGTTAGGGCAAGGGCTAGCCCTGGCCTGGCACGGAGAACTGCGACACAGAGCAACACCACGGCTCATACCGGCAGCGATCTTTTTGGCTACTCTACGGCTAAAGGATTGCATACGGCTGGCATGGAGGAAGGCACGGAGATGGCAACATACCGCAGTTCTTAGGACTGAACTGTTAGGTTAAGTACAAGAGACTCAGGAGAACAGGTTTGGGCACGAACATCTAACGGGCTTTTAGTTAAATGCTTATAGTCAGGGATCCCTTTCTACTCATTCACTTAGGTGGCACCTCGACACTGTGATGGTTTATAAGTCAGCTTCACGGTGTTTACAGTCAGCATGGAAACGAACCTCTGGGCCTCTCCCAGAGTTTCTAGATTAGGTTAACTGAGGCGGGGAGACCCATCCTAAATGTAGAAGTCCCAGAGTAAATAAAAACAGACAGCCAAGCAGCACAGTCCACTGCTTCCTGCTCGTGGGTACAAGGCAACCAGCAGCTTCACACTGCACCATGCCCTCTCCTTCATGATCAGACTGAGCTGAAATCAACCTTCCCCAAGTTGCTCTTGTTAGGGTAGTTTACCTCCCTCTCCCCTCCTTCCTTAGGAGTAAGAGTCAGGAGGGATCATCCTTCCTGCCCTCTGAGCTACTTCAGCATAGTCTGTAAATGCGGCTCTCGTGGTTTCCTGGCCAACAGCCTACAGAAAATAAGATGGCAAAGATGGTCATCGAGCGCCTCCGAGCTCCGTCAGGTCCTCGCTTTGATCAGGACAGCTCTAAGGGGCTGGACTCTGTGCGCAGCCTCATGATGGCGGTTTAGGAACTCCCTAAGGCTGCCCTCTGCCACCCAACACCATCTCTATTTCTACTTTAGACAAAGCCCACCTCTTTCCCCAAAGACAAAGAAGTCACACTGCTGAGTGATTACTGAGTGACAGGGGAAAGAGGGGACCACGAGTCTGGCCTGGGGAAGAGTTTTAACCTGTCAGCCGCCACCATGATGAAAGGCGTCAGAGCAGGGGAGGGGACCCCAGGTCTTATGACTCTGAGTTCTAGCTTGGACTGAGGACATTGCTGCAGCCTCTGTCAACCACATTCTGGGGGTTTAGGTACTTGGGTGTGTAGAGTAAGTATGGTCTACAGAAAGGCTCAGGGACCACTCCTGACTGGGTATGTTGTATACATCTGTGGTCCGGGCATTCAAGAAGGAAAGGCAGGGGACTCGCCGCAAGTTCAAGGCCAGGTGACAAAAAAATAAAACTATCCCCAAATCATCCAACAGTAAAAGCAGTAATATAACAGAGCGGCTATGAATTTTCCTCACCTCTCTGCACCAGGTTCGGTGCAGTTTATACAAAAGAAGGATCTGATAAGTTCAAGCTTGAAGAAAAGAACCCCAAAACAGAAACATCTCTTTGACAAACTGTTTATTAACTTTTGCATCAGTATGAATATCTTTTATTACACCCCAGAATACTAGGATTTAGGGAGGCGGTAAAGTGGCAATGGTGAATTTGGGTATCTGGTCTCCCAAAAGTACCTGCCGCTCTACCCCGGATTCCTGAATGGCTGCCAGGCGGATCACCCCTCCACTGGAGCCGTCCCGTTCCATAGCCAAAGCGAGAGCTGTAGATAAGAGGAGGAGATTGGGTCTGGAGTTAGGTGGTGACAATAAGGAGCTATGAAGCCCGCAGGCCTGGACGCCCAAATCCTCACCATTGGCGGTGAACTGCAGACACTCGTCCTTGGTCATGCCTTCCCGGTAGGTGGCATCAACGTAGCCATAGATGTAGGAGCTCCCGGAGCCTCCGATGGCAAAAGACTGCCTCACCATCATACCCCCCATGGGAACGGAGTACACCTGCCAGGTGGAGTGGGGTGGGGGAAAGGCCACCAGTTGCACCCTTCCCAAAACATGTACGTCCACCCGTCCCTTTTGATTTTGGTCTGGGGAGAGTTTACGGTAAGCCAGAGATAGACAGACACACTTAAAAATGGCTGGACAGAGACTGGGGCTGGCTCGGGTGCTAAAGGGCCTGCTAGGCAGGTATCAAGACCAGATTGCAAGTCCCTAGCACTTACATAAAAGCTGGGCACGCCCGCAACTGCGCTGGGAGAATGGCAGAGGGTGTGGTCTGCAGAGCTCACTGGCTAGCCAGCCTAGCTAAAAGGCGAGTCCACGTTCAGTGAGTCTGTCTTAGGGACACGGGAGAGCAGATGAAGCTCCCTGGCAGGCCTCCACACACAGCCCTGCATCTACAGGCAGACATCCCCAACAGACCAACGGCCGACAGACCTGCCCTCCTTCTTGCGGGTCCCAGCCTGCAATGATGATTCCTGCCATAAGGTCTTCTCTGTAGCGGTAACACATCTCCTTGAAGAGACTGGCGGCTGTGTGTACCAGCGGGGGCTCATTCAGCTCAATACTAGAAGGTGGGTCGGAAGGGTACAGAGGAGCGGCGTGAGGATCTGGGGCCGGTCAGTGACCTGCGCCCCGATCCCCTAGGCTACCGCCCCTGCCCACCGCACCTGTGGAAACCCAGCTGGTAAGTGACAGCGTCGGCCACGGCCTGGGTGTCAGCTGCCGAGCCTGAGCGGCAGCAGAAGATGTGGTCGTGGATGGGGGTCAGCTTGTCGGTCACTCGATTGGCGATGTAGGACCTGCGGGGCGGGTGGCACAGTGAGGAGGCGCCCACTGGTCTCGCTCTGGCTGCAGGGATGGAGATACTGGTGCTACCTATCAGGTCTTAGGGAGGAGAAGCGGGATGGAGGGAGAACGGACTTTTACCCAAGGGTGAGAGAAGGGGGTGTAAGCATGGGGCGCGGGGCACGCGGCGACCTTTTCCTGCTTGGAGCTCACCCGGTGGTTGTTCTGGAGTCTGCCCCTAGAACCACGCCCCCGTCGAACTGCACAGCCATGATCGTGGTCTGGGAACAGGAGGAGAGCGTAGAAAGGGTCGAGCCTACAACCTCCGTGATTCCTCACCCGGATTCCATTATGCGAACCCGTGCTCCGCGGGCCCGTCGTCAACTCTAACGGGGCTCAACCCTCACAGTCCCAGCCTCCGAACCTCAGCCCACCGCCCACCGCCCTCCGGGAAGCACGCCCGCATCCCACGAACCCCTCTCCTCGCGGAACCACCCTCCCGCAGCACACTGCGCCCGAGCCGCTCCGGCTTCACGCCCCCCCCGCGTCAGGCCTAGCGCAGGCCTTCCGGGCTCCGGCCCTTGCCTCACCCCTGTGGACACTTCTCGGCTTTCCCAGTCGGGGGCGAGAGCCTCCGGCCCAAAAGCCGGCGCAGAGCCCGCTCCGCGAGCAGCCACGGCGGCCGCCATCTTCCTCTCCCAAGGCTGCCACAAAGCGACTGTCGTAAAGCGCTCCGTCACGGTCTGTAGTCGCTCTCTGCGGCCTTCTGGGAGCGAAGCTGCTTGACGGCAGAAGGGAAAAGAAGACGTAGGAACTGTTCGCTTGCGACAGTGCACACTTGACGGCAGTGTGTCAAGTTACCAAACTCAAAGAGAGGCCGGGCAGGAGGGCGGGGACGTCCTGGGGGACCCTTCCTCAGGCGTGTGCACCTACGAGCGTGCCGGCGCCCCGGGGCCATGGGTGGTTGTAAGTGCGGCCCGGCTTACATTATGGCATTTTGTGGGTGAGGTTTTGGTGTTTGTCTTTTTAAACTCGATTGGGCCGGGGAGACGGCTCAGTGGTTAAGAGCGCCGGCCGCGCTTCCAGAGGACCCGGGTTCAGTTCCCAGCACCACAGGGTGGCTCACAGCCGTCTGTGGGGAGCGGGGGTGTACACCGAGACGGCCATGTCTGCCCTGCCGCACTCTGGGATGCATACCTGGGCAGTGTGCTCGGCGCTGATTTCCTGAACCTCAGGAGGACCTCTGAAGAAGCTACAGGTGTACCGCCTGGCAACCGCGCCTGCCAATCTGAGGGTTTCCGCCTTTATGCACTCGTGCCGATGTATCGCACTTTTTAACCGCGGCCGTTCTAGCACACGTGGGTGCGACCTTGTGACTTTGGTTTGTTTCCCCGAATAATTGGTTAACCGCATTTCTCTGGGCAGCGAGCCATGTGTGTGTCTTCTTGGAGCAATGTCCACTCAGGACTTTGCCCTTTTAAAACGGGTTACTTGTGTTTTTATTGTCCTGTTGTCTTTACATTTCAGGTACTGGAAACATCAGGTATATGATGGGCAGATATTTTTCTACCATTGGGTTAAAGCAAACAGTTTCAACTCTAGGGCAAGTAAAACAACCAGGAGAGGTGCCCTTCCCTTATGATGGGGGGAGAGAAGCAACTCCTTCAACTTGTCTTCCCTCCTGCACACCATCCTGTGGCTCAAATGCACCCTCCCCTCCCCGACAAATAACTAGATGTTAAAAAAAAGTTTTAAATTTTTTAAAGATGTATGTATGTATGTATGTATGTATGTATGTATGTATGTATGTATG